GAAAGCCTCAGTAATAAAATTAGAAACTGTTAAAATAAATTAATGCTACTAAGTGTTTGGTGAAATGGGTATCCTGATACACTACTGGTAATAATGCAAACTGTCCATTCTTAGAAAACAATTTATAAGAGTTAATCCCCTGGACAAAAAGAAACTGACTGTAAGGCCTCTGAGTACTTTCTAGGAATTTTTCCTGAAGGAAAATCAGAAATAGGATAAACAGATATACATAGTGGTAAACTGAGGATAAAAACTAAGTCTACAACAGAATAAATTTTAAAGAATATTCTGTAGCTACTAAAGCAGTTTTCTGTATTTCAACACAAAATCATCACAGGAAGAAATCATCAAATACAGCATTAGGTGAAAAAAAGGAAGAATTTATAATTGTATGTTTAGTATGAACTCACATTTGCAAAACTAAATACACCAGACATTACAGATGTTAAAGAGAGGATGAGAATCTTAACAGTTGCCACGTACTTTTTATAATACTTGTGGTTTACTCAAGTTTTTACTTTTAGTTAGGAAAATGCAAAAGGTTTCCAAAATGTTGTTCCTCTAGGATAAATTTTTATTAACTATATTTATATAAAATCACCACTAACAGTTCTAAAATCTGAGGGCATTAGGGCTGTACTGATTGAATAGCCTGGAAAAGGGATACCAAAAAGAGGCCAGATGGTCAACAGGAGTCATAATACCTACCCACCAAACATAATTTAATGGGAAAAAACTAAGAAACGACCATCTGTGGGACAGAAAATTAGGCCTAAAAATATGAAAACCCTTAAAATGTATTACATTTAATTCACAATGAAATTAAGGAAGCATCGTCACCAATTTCAATAGGACAAGAGAATAAAATATTATTGAACAGTAAACACTATCTAGTGTCTTTACTACTTCAATGCCGCTAACGCCCCTGTATTAAGTAAAAAATAATCTGGAAATACATTAAAACAGCAAGGAAATAGCATATACCAAAAGTACAATGAGATGTAAGATGAACTAAAACTGAAAAATCCTCAGTCAACAGAGATATGGTTCAAATTTGAAAATGAAAATAGTTCAGATCTTGTAATTTTAAATTACATATTAAATACAGTTTCTAATTGCTCTGAGAGTCTGAAACATCTGGAAGTAAGACTTGCTGATTTCTGCACTATTCATAGAACAAAAGAAAAATGATTTCACAGTAATGTTGAACTAGATTTTCTAATATAATAAAACACTGAACCAGTTCTTGCTTGTTATACTTGCCTGTTGTAAGATCCCTCCTTGACATTTGGAAGATCATAAAATCGAAAAGTCTGGAGCCATTGGTAATCCTTGATCAGTACCATTTGATTTCCAATGTGCGAAAGGACCAAAGAAATACAGCAGAGCTACAGAATGTACAACTTACTAAATATCTGACACAAAATAACTTTGCTAGGTCAATTGAGGGTTCTGGTACTTACATTTGAGAGCAAAAAACACTTACAAACTCACTTGATTTGTATATTGACAGCAAATTAACTGGCATTACTATCCTTAATCATACGTGTTTCATTTCACTCTCTTATTTGATGCCTCTCATCAAGGATAGAGGTCTGAGATGTAATAGCCCATGATGCAGATCTATAGATCTTACTTATAGTAAAAACATATATACATATATACTCTTTCTGAAAATTTTTGAAAAGTTCTTGAATTCCTGAATGGGAAACTGCAAAGTTTATTCAATTGTGAGGTTTTTATTTCTTCATTTTAGGAATCTTAGAGCCAGTGAAAACAGGGAAGCAAAGCTTCACAATCCCATGCTCTCAAGAGTAAATTCTGAAGGCAAGTGGAATTTTGTATTTAATGTTTCTGACCTCGAGTAATTAAATCTAAAAATAAAGAAAGCCTAGTACATAAAGACCTGTTCTTAGGTGCAATCTCAACTTCTTTTTGTATTGATTTGAAGACAATGATGCCATTCATACTTTAATTACCTCAGATATTTGTTTTTCTAAAATATAAACAGCTGACCACACTGCAACCTTTTTTTTCCCCCCCTAATGGAGAACCAAGATACTAATCATCTGGTGCGTGCAGGAATAGAGGTGTAATTTAAAGCAGGGTTTCTCAGCCTGGGCACCACTGTGATTTGGGGCTGGAGAACTGTCTGTTGCGAGGGCTGTCCCATGCAGTGTAGGACATGCAGGCGCATCCCAGGCTTTTAGCCGGGAGATGCCCGGAGCCTCTCAGGCTGCCTCTCCTGCCATCCGTGACAACCAAAATGTCTCCCAAACACTGCAAATGTGCAAATGTTCTGAGGGAGAATCATCCTTGCTTGAGAACTATAATTTAAATCATCTCATCATTAAAAAATAAAAAAAAAAAAGGAAATCTTACAAGTTCAAGCACTATAACCCATGAGAAATCTAAGTGAAAATGATGATTTGATCTAGGAGAGTCTCCCTCACACATTATAAATGTATGGGACCTCCTTTTTTAAAAGTCTGAAATTACATTGCCCAAAATGGTAACTCCTAGCCACATGGAGCTATAAAGCATTGCAACCTATAACTAGTTTAACCAGTTACTAAACTTTTACTTTTATTTTATGTAATTTTTTAATTGAAGTGTAAGTAACATACAGTGTTCTGTTAGTTTCAGGTATACAACATGCTTCAACAATTCTATACATTACTCAGAGCTCACCCGATATATGTAGTCACCACCTGTCAAATGTTATTACATTATTGACTATATTCCCTATTCATCTCTGTGACTTATTTATTTTATAATTGGAAATTAGTACCTCTTAATACCATTTACCTGCTTCACCTATCCCCCACCCACTTCCCCGCTGGCAACCATCAGTTTGTTCTCTGTATTTAAGAATCTGTTTTTTGGGGGTGCCTGGGTGGCTCAGTCATTTGGGTGTCTGCCTTTGGCTCAGGTCATGATCCTGGATCGAGCCCTGCTGTGGGCTCCCTGCTCAGTGGGGAGCCTGCTTCTCCCTTCCTCCCCACTTGTGCTCTCTCTCGCTATCTCTGTCTCTCTCTCTCAAATAAATAAGTAAAAAATCTTAAAAAAAAAAAAGAATGTTTTTTGGTTTGTTTCTTTGTTTGCTGGTTTTATTATATTCCATATATAAGTGAGATCACGTGGTATTTGTCTTTCTCTGACTTATTTCACTTATCATAATACCTCTAGGTCCATCCATTTTGTTGCAAATGGCAAGATTTCATTCTTTTTTATGGCCGAGTAATATTCCAGTGTGTGTGAGTGTACACACATACACGCACCACATCTTTATCTGTTCATTTATCGATGGCACGTGGGTTGCTTCCATATCTTGGCTACTGTAAATAATGCTGCAATAATAAACACAGGAATGCATCTATCTTTTCAAATTAAGAGTTTCTGCTTTCTTTGAAGAAATAATTATTTATTTAATATAAATTTAATTGATCGATCAGCATCCAAATGGAGAAATGTTGCAAATGTAAAATATATACCAGATTTCAAAGATTTAGAATGAATAAAAGAATGTAATTTATCACTTTATATTGACTACATGTTGAAATGAAAATATTTTGGATATAATTGGTTAAATAACACATATTTTAAAATTAATTTACTTGTTGGTTTTTCCTTTTTTTAATGCGGTGTCAGAACACTTAACTTTACATGTTAGCTCATATTACATTTCATTGGTTCGCATGGTCCAAAATGTTTCATGGTCTGTTCAAATACATACTGATGATGAAAATATATAAGACCCCAAAGATACCATGAATTCAGTAAAATATTTCAGTGATTTTATATTTTACTGATATTATATTTTACTTAAACACAACAGCACCCACAAATGATACTGAGTATCCATGGAGATTTTTGGATTCTCAGAAATATTTTGGGCCTAAAGTTTGAAATCCACTGGTCTGGAACATGTATCAATACTGCTGATAATATAAAATTCATAAGCTGAAAGCATTAATTCTAGAATCTGTTTCCAATGATCTTCCATTCAATTTAGACAATTATGTTTATATTTAGGCTGAAATGAACTTATCTTTCCCATCTCCATAGGAATACCACTGTCCTTCTCCTTCCAAACTTCACTAAAATGAATAGCAAATGACAAGCTCTTTTGACATTTCAAAGGCATTTAACAGAAACAACACAAAAATAACCCCTTGGTCAGTAGGTCTTTTATTTGCACTACCAAACTACTAAACTCCTTTAAAATTATATTAACTTTTTTAAAAAATCTTAAATTTTATGACAAAATTATTTTATTGTTCTACCTCTTTCAATTCTATCAACTAAGTAAGTAAAATCTTACTTACTTACTTACTTACTAAGTAAGTAAAACCTTAATGGCACATAAAAAGGTCCTTGAAGTTCTGGTTCTGATTCTCCTTAACACTAAGTTAACAGAAAAATAAGAACAAAATGCCTGTGTATAAGCACACAGAATAATTAATAAGGATAAATCAAGAAGAGATAATGGGAAATCAGAGGGGGATGCAGAGCTCAGTATATAATTTTGGTTACCCAAAAAAGGATTTGCAAACCCCAGTTTAAAGTATGTGCTCAGGATAAAAGCCTATGCAGATGCTAACTTAATAATTATAAAAAGCAGTATGACTTCAAAACTATACCAATCTCATGACTGTGCATTTTATTAAACACATTTATGGGTTATATAATCTAAATATTTATTAAGTAGTCAATTCCATATTCCTATTATGGTTTACAGATTCAAAAAACTTAACATTGTTTTTAAATCTTTTTAAGTGTAGAAAGATGCCACAAAACACTTTGCCTGAGATTATGAACTCTGGCATAACTAAATTATTAGAAAGCTTATACTTGTTGGGAGCTATTAGCTTCTTTTTGGGGTAAACGAAGGGAAAAAAAGAGAATTTGAAAGATGAGCAATGTGCAGGGCCAGAGTGCTTAGGACAAATTTTCAGAGCTTCAGGGAATGTTTTACAAAGAGGAAAGAAATGACTTGCCTCACAAAACTTGGACCCACTGTGGAACTGGGGAGAAAAAAAAGTTCTAGAAAGAAAGGTACCACAATTCAAAATACTTTAAATACAGAATGAAGTTTCAAGAACATTTAGCTGGTGTATCTGTTTATGTACATTCTATGCCACAGTTACACTGAGCAGTGAGATAAATTACTACATACCTGGGAGGGGCTGTTGGATAAATAATTTTTATGTGTTGGAATGTTAACTCTTGATTTAAAACCTGCTGGATCCATTTTCTCAATCCTTGTCCAGAATCACCTGATGGATCACAAAATATCAATTAAGACAAAACATTTTGACAACACAGTGTATTTAAAAGCATTCTATAACTTTCATATCACACAGAGGCTGGAACAAGGAATATAAAAAAATCTCCATATGTAAAAATAACTGCACAGAAGCCAATTTATCAACATGAATTAATTGATCAGGCATTAATAACTAAAAATAATTTAGAAAGTTTTACTCCTAACTTCACCACTGATCACTTTAAAGACCTTGTTCAAGTTTGAGTTTCAAGTTTCCTTGTTTGTTTAAAGGGTAAAACAGGCACAAATAGATGAAGTAAATTATTTTCCTAAAAAAATTCTGTATCTGATTTTAAACACTGTCGTTTCTTATCTTACCTGTAAAAATAGTAAATTTCTGAAGCAAATATAAACTTTTGTAGATGGAACGATCTAAAACAATTTTCTTGGTTAAAATAACAAGATCTTTCAAAAGGGGTATTTAGCAAACTTTATTTTTAACTTGAAGAAATCTAAATTTAATTTTGATAACAGGTTTATGTGATGTAAAATAACGATTATACATCCCAAGGCTGAAAAATAACCAAAATCAAGAATTAATGTATAATTAATAACCATAAAAACCATATAAAAAATAACCAAAAGCAAGAATTAATGTATGGATATTTCCATTAAAAAATGGAAGGAAATTAGGTCCATGTTATATAGTCCTGAAGAGGAAATTTTAAAGGTAACAACTTTTAATTTTTTAGATCAGCTCATTAGACATCAACTCAGAGTCTATCTACGGAATACCTATTACTGTGTCAGGCACTGTGTTCACTGCTAGAGAGGCAGTGATGGCAAGATAAGGAAGAAAGAGTCCCTCCTCTCACTGAGGACACAGTTTACTGTGAGAAACACACACAAGTCAAATAATCATACATGAACATGAAAGACAAATATAACCACTGTGAAGATGAGACACTTGGTGCTGCCATGGTTTACTACATTCAGAACTGACCCAGCTAAGGAGTTCAGGAATAACATTAGAAGATAAGCTCTGCAAAGCAAAGTTCAGTTTGTATTTTAGCCACTGAGCTATTTGTTTATTTAATGCCTAGATCACAAATGACACAAACTGACCCAGTTTTCAAGACCTACAGGATGGTGAAAAGTGAGCCAAACAAGAAAAGAGCATTTTGGACAGAATATGGCAAATGCTAAGATCCTTTACAGGATGGAAGAGGAGGACATCTAAGAATGAGGGAAAGAGTGGTGAGCACAAGAAGAGGCTGGAGAAACTGTAGGGATGTGGCAAATCCTAACAGCGTGGAGTTACTTTTTGGCAGAAAGGTGGCTGTCTTCTAAGGGTCACTCTGGCAACTGTGTGACGACAGAAGGGACAAAAGTAGGTGTGGGGAGATCAGTTAGGAGGCGACTGTCCAGATGACAGATGCTTAAATTAGCGATCTAGCAATGGCATGCACGGGAATAGGTTTAAGGATACTTAGGAGAGAAAATAAATAGGTATTGGTAATAGATTAGTTATAAGGGCAATGGTGGAAGGTTTCAAGGATGACAGCAAGGTTTCTGGCCAGGATAACTGAGTGAACAATGGAACTAAACACTGAGATAGGAAACACATGAATCAACAGGTCTACACTCGCTATACTGCCTACAAGGTCCTCTACCTGGGGTTGAGCAAACTATAGCCAACTGGAAGACAAAAGCCCAAAGCCTTAAGCTATGAATGGTTTTTATATTTTTTAAAGAGTTGCTAAAAAAAAATAAAGAAAAAGGAGAAAAAGGAAGGGAGGCAGAAAAGAAAAATGTGAAAGAAACCATATCTGGTTCACAAAATCTGACATGGCTGCTACCTGACCCTTTACAGGAAGTTTGCTGACCCCTGCCTCCTACCACCTGCGCCAGGATCCTCTGGATATCCTGGCCTACTCCTCTCTCTCAGTCAGGGAAAGTCAGGGAAAGTCAGGGAAAACGCCTGACTTGCTGTTCCCATGAATGTCAGGGAGCCTACCTCAGGGCCTCTGTCCTGCCTTCTCCCTTGTCCGCAACCGTATAACCCAACACCCACATGATTCACTCACTCAGGTCTAGCTGCTGAAGTACCACCTTCATAGTGAGGCCTACTCTGACCACCTTAGTTAAACTATCACCCCCAATACCTCCCATCCTCCTTGTCTTGCTTTCTCTTTTTTCCACAGAACTCACTACTATCCACTATATAGTATTTCCTCCAATGGAATGTAAACTCCACAAGAGCCGGGACTTTTTGTTTGTTCCGTTCATTAATACATGCCTGGAGCCTAGAACAGTGCCCTGCACAGTGGCCATATAATAGATATTTCCTGAATGAATGGATTATTAAATGAGCGATTATGAGGCAGTTGGATAAACATGTACAGAACTCAAAGGAAAATTAAAATAGAGACACAAATTTATGTTACCATATAGAGGAAAACAGAATCCTCAGGCATATGTGCACATTATCCTGCAGAGAAAAATGCAAAATGAAAAGAGACCACAGAACCAAATTCTGAGAAGCCCCAACATTAACAGACAGAACAGAATGAGACTGGAAAATCAATTATAAGGAGTAAACAGGTAGTAAGTACCAAGAAAGTGTTTCAAGAACATCGAATGTTGCGGATGGTTCAAATAAGAAGATGACTGAAAAATGTTCCCCACGTTTAGCAACACAGCAGTTACCAGTAAAGTTACTAGTAACTTCACTCAGTGCCAACTCAGTTTGCTTTGATTTACTGCATGGGGAAAAAGCAAGATATGCATAATTAGGGTCTGTGTGAACCTTATAGCGCAGTTTGGGAACTACAAATTAAATTTGGGAATTACAAATAATGGATACCATTAAAAGAAGTGCCATAATGTTCTAAAGGAACATACAACAGAGTGAATTAATCTAAACTGGGAAGCTGAATGAAGCTAATTAAACTATTACTTGCTTTTATCGTCCTGAAAGAAGGTACCTATTTGGTATTTTAGGTGTAGGAATGGCTCAAATTAAGTTGGCTATCTATTACTCACATTCCTACACCTTCTTCTATGACTACCATACCATAGCGGTAGCCTAGGAGAGAACTTCAGCCTTTTAGGATTAAAAAAAAAACAAAAAACAAAAAACAAAAAACAAAACAAAACAAAAAAACTGCCTCTGAATATACTTTTCCAACCTTGAAAAGCAAAACTTAATGCTACAAAGTAACATCCATTCATCCATTCACAAGGCCCACTTTTTAAAAAGCCTGCACTTTATTCTAAGAGCATGTAACAACTATTAAAACTGGTTTGTCTGTATTTAGATTAACCAGAACCCAAACACCTATAATATAACCACATATAATAAGTCTAATGTAAAATCATACTACTAGTATGGGTTTTAAATTTACTGCAGTGGAGGTCTAACTATGTGGAAATTGTATTTCATTTGCATAATTAGCAGAAGAATTCTTTGGATAAACTCTGTTCCAAAGTACAAAAGGAAAAAATATATATTTGGGGTTTATAATTTATAAAAATATAAGTAATTTGAAAAGAGTAAGGATGGTACTTTAAGCAAAGTGGCCCACGGGAAAAAAGAAAAGTCTAGGAGTATTTCCTAACAATATTACAAAACAATTATTTATTACAAAAGCTACAGTATCTGGGAATTTCTGGATGCTTATAAATGAACCCCCATGGATCCCCAAATAGTACCAGGAACAGTCTCTTAGTTGTAAGGCTTTGGTGTCCTCCTAGACACCTCACTTCACCATTCTAAATATATTTCATTAGCGAAGTCCTTCCTGTTAAACATCTTTGGTCCATTTCTTCCCTATTTCCAAAATGAAACAGCTTAGCTCAGAGTTTTTCCACCTTACCCTTCCGGAGTCAGAGAGATCTGGGTGTGAATCCTAACTCCACTACCACTCACAGCAACAGTCAAGTGACCTTGAGCAAGCTGTTCAACTTATCAGGGCTCATTTTAAAAATGAGAATACTTCCCATAACTGCCCATTTCCAGGTCTCCACCTTGTACCTTTCCAATCCCCTCCACTATATTCAACTGCAAGTCTCAGCTCAAAGCCCATGTTCTCAGTCAAATTGGTAAAATCTCAGCTCTTCTTCTTCCAAATGCCTTAATATGCCTAACCACAGTTTTTTTCCTTACAATTCTCTTGGCAGTAAATCATGTACCATCTTGTGATCTCCCATCCACTGCTGACTCAAACTAATTGAATTGTTTTTGTTTTTAACTTTAGGTAGGCGCCCTGAGGACACTGGCTGCATCTCATTTCTTTAAAAAAATATTTCCCAAGAACTTACCCTAGGCCAAGCACTAGGGATGCAGAGACTAAAATAAGGGTCCTTACTCTTGAGGAAGGGAAAGTGAAGTGGGAAAGACAGGCTTAAGTCATTACAGATGAGTGTAAGGAAAGCTATACAGAATTAAGCACACACACCAGTAAGGGCGGGCAGTGGAAGGAAGGTATCCGCCCTGGGGACTGAGAGTGGACTCTGTGCTTTTATCTCGGGGGTTTCAGGACAGGAACGGGAAAGAGGAAGAAGAAGGGAGTAGCAAGAAAGAGAGGAAAGGGAGAAAGTACTCCAGCCCTGCCACAGCGCCTCGCAGAAAGGACATAAATATTAAGTTAACTGTCTCAACTGTCCACAGTGGTACGAGAGACTGGAAAAATAAAGTGGCAAATAATCTAAGGCGGTTGAAAATCCCGATCACTAATAGCTGACGCTGGAAAGTACTAAATCATTGGTGTCTAGTAGAAAACTTACCTTACTAACTTGCTTCGTTTAAACTCGAGGGAGAACAGTGAGGGGGAGGGGACGGTAGCAAGGGTTGCAATGGAGAGAGTGTTGCGGATGGACGGATGGCCCAGTGGTGGGACGCAAGGGCCATCAGGGAGCACGATGGGCCCATGATCGAAAAAGGGAATACACGGTGGAGAAGGCCCTGTGTCCGCAGCCGCGGGGTTAGCGAGGCGAGGGCCGCCCTCCCCGAGTCCACTGAGCCCTGTCGAGGCCCAGCGACTCCTCCAATAGGGCAACACTAGGGGACCCCAGAGGACGATTCCCAAGCAGAAAACTAGGATGTAAAACTGTAATCCACCTGAGCCGTGCAGGAAGATCAGAGAGGCGCTGTGCCTCCCAGCCGGCGACACGATGCAACGCTGCAACCGAACTGAACCCGACACAGACGCCATCGCTGCGGCCCGAGGAGTTCCGTGGGCCCCGCCCCTCCGCTGCCCCGCGGGCCCGCGCCCTTAGGCACGCAGAGGGCGCGCCTGGGTGCGCGCATGCGCGGTGGGGCTGGTACGGTCTGGCCTTTGAGTCCGGTCTGAGGCATCTCTTGCTTCCCTGTGAGTCTGGTTTTGCAGAGGGTTGTTTTGTGCAGGTGTCAGATTCGGTAAGGCTAGTGGGTACATTTATTTGCTGCAGGATTTTTAACTGCAGCCCTGAAATTCAGGATTGTCTTTTTATTTGGAGAAATATTGGTGTTATTATGTTCACAGTTTAACAAATAAAATCATATTTTACCTTCCACTTTGGGCCTTGAACCGGATGTTTGTAGCTTTTTATACACAAAATAAGACTATATAACTATATTATATAACTATATAATAATTGTAGTTTTAAAAAATAGTTTACACAGCAGATCTAAGGAGGTACGTTTCACACCCATTAAGTTGATTGTTACTAGAAAAACAAAATAAATGTTGGTGATGATGTGCAGAAATTGGAACCCCTGTGCGTTGCTGATGGGAATGAAAAATAGGGCAGCAGCTGTGGAAACAGCTTAGTTGTTCTTCAGAAAGTCAGATGATTACCATATGATCTAGCAATTCTACTTTTAGTTATGTATGAAGAAATGAAAGCAGGAACTCGGACAGATATTTGTACAGCAGTGTTCATTATTCACAAGAGCCAAAAGGTAGAAGCAGCCCAACCAGCCATCAATGGATGGATGGAAAACAAATGTAATTACGTACAATGGAGTATTATTCAGCCTCAAAAAGGGATGAAATTCTGATGCATGCTACAACACACATGAACCTTGAAAACAGTACACCAAGTGGAATAAACCAGACACAGAAGGATAAATATTGTGTGATTCCACTTAGATGAGATACCTAGGATAGGCATATTCCTAAAGACAGAGAATAAAGTAGCAATTATCAAAAGTAAACAGTAAGGGGAAATGAGGAGATGTTTCGTGGGCATAGGGTTTCTGTTTGGGGTAACAAAAAATTTCTGGAAATAGTGATGATGATTGTACAACATTGCGAATGTACTTAGTGTTACTGAACTCTACACTAGAAACTCATTAAAATGGTACCTTTTATGTTATGTAAAATTTATCACAATTTTTAAACTACCAAAAATGAATGGAATTATCTTCTATATAAAGACCTAACCATAGACATCTTTTAATAGGAAGGACTGTAGACCCAGGAAATGGCTCTTTCCTCATGTAAAACTTATCAGACAACCAAGTAGATCTTTAAGTGCCATTAAACACCAGTCTTCTGTTCATTGTAGTTTGCATCATGTTTAAGCAATTCCAACTTATCTTTTCTTTGTTGATGGTACTCACCCTACTCCCAAGTGACTAAGTTGCTTAACATCATGGCTCAGTTGCCAAGATAAGCTCTATTCTATCACAGTGTTGGACCAATGTTGTCTATGGGAATGGTCCTACACCCCCTTAGTTCACCAGATCCAAAAGGAGCTCTGAGTCATTTCACTAAAGCCTCTAGATCTTCAGCTGAGAGTACTGAGAATGAAGTCATTCTAGAGGACAGACTGGGGTGGACTGACCTCTGATAACCAATTCTTAAAAAATACTTCTATCGGTAGGCCTGTCTTCCACACATGAATTCTGGATCACTTTCAAGAGCCAGGGGAGAAGAGGGCAGTGTTATCCTAGGAGAAACCACTTGGAGATATGCCAGGTAAGGCTTGAAGTTCTACTCTTAGAACTCCATTACTGCCAGAGAACCTGGCTGCTCATCATCTCATGCTTTGAAAAACAGCAGAAAATCAGAAACATAACTATTTGCTAATATAGTATAGCTAATACATACTGTTAATACTGATACTACATAGCTGAAAATCATTGGGACTTAGTAAGTGCCAAGTGTTGTCATAAGTAAGTTTCCATAAAATTCTGTACTATCGGTTTCTGTTCTTGCCAGTGAAGCTCAAAAAGGTAAGGAACTTGGCCCAAGAGCAAAGAAGCTCAAAAAGGTAAGGAACTTGGCCCAAAGTCCAGGTCCCTAACTGTTACACATTTACACGTGAGTGCACAAAAATAAGACAGGGCATGCCCCAGCTATTTCATTTCAAAAGCAAAACAACAACAACAATAAAACCCAAACCCCCAAATACTTCTGGGATTTGGACTGTAGCCCTTTAGAGTCTCTACTGATTAGGAGTTCTTACGTTATTTGAGATATCCCCCAAGTCTCCTGGTTTATTTCTCTACCTGAATGAAAACCATTTTGGGCAGATAGAAGAGCAGTCCTGGAAGTCTGGGATTCTGAGTTTCACCTAGAACTTGAGTCTTCCCAGATTCAGGATCCTTATTAGGATAAACCAGATTTTCCCAAACCTAATCAAAGTGCTCTTTTATTTCCAGTGATTTAAATGCTTGGCTATTATTGCTGTTCCTTTCATCTTTATTTATAGAACAAACAGAAGGTTTTAGATTACTATATTTAGAAGTGCCATCTGGTAGGCAAACTATTGAACAAAAATGTTTTGTTCCTTTCATGTAACTACATTACTTTGAAATGTAATTAAGTTTCAGAATGGTTGTTTTCTTCTTTTATGGTGGATCTTTTGCCCTATTGAACTGGGGGAAATTCTTCCTGGTAGATTTTTATTCATGCATTCTTTTACTCTTTGTGTATCTCTTAATATTTTTGTTGTTACTCATTTGCTTTTTAGACAGTCATTTGCCCATTATTGATGTACTCCACTTTTGGTAACTTTAGTGCCTAAGAAAAGCTAGCAAACAAAAGAAAAGTTAAAAAAAAACACCTCCCATTTTGTAGGGTTTTAATATCTACTGGAATCTAAAGATATAAAGACAAGATCAGAATCTAGTTTGCTCTTCCACTCTGTGTTTAGAAACTCTTCAGGATACACTTGTTGACTTAAAAAAAAAAAAAAGATTGAAAGACCAGTCATTGACAATAGTAGTATGTTTGGTACTTTCAAATGATTTCAGTTAAATGAAGTTTCATTCATCATACAGACAATGCACAGTTATGCATCTTGTTTTTCTGGTTCTTGAGCATCAAACTGTATCCATTCCATTGGTTAGTTTTTATCTGTTGAATTATTTAAAAATACAGAGAAACACATGGATGGAAAAAACAAGTACACGTTAGACACAATGTCTCAGCATTAGGTAATTTAAAAAATTTTATAAATTAACAAAGAAAGGTCCTTTGTATCTTCCCTTTATCCATTTATGAAAGAAATACTAGAAAAAACTGAAAGGTCCTGAATTCTTACAAAACAGTAAAACTCAACTCTTTAGAAAGGAACAGTTGTATGAGTTTATGAACTTTAATATAGCCATTTCTTCAGTTCTAGGGAGCTTAAACTTGCATTTGTTATTCTAGACACAGCCCTTCTAGGTACAGATAGGAGGAGTCCCCCTACTTCTACTAGATATGAAAGGCATAGTTGGGGTCTTTTTAGAGCAGATAGGTCACCTGGGACATTGTGAGCTGGACTAAGGCAGCACTGGGGAGGTGGGCACACGAGACTTAGATAATGACCACATACAGTTTTGGAGCCTGGGTATTTATCACTTCTGCTGCACTGTTAACAAAGAGATTCCCACCAGTACAGTGTGCAGGCCCCGGATGAAGACTGCAGAAGTTCCTCCTTTGAGCGTAGGCTGGGTGGTCAGCATCAATACCGGGACGCCTGCCCGTGTTCTCCGCATTGTCACATGACTTTTCTATAGGAAAAGGATTGTCTCCCTTTTGAGCACCTCCCATGACCAGTTCTTATATTCCCAAGCTACTCTTTTATTCTCTTTTCTCTAAGTCCTTGTAGTTGTCTTGGGGTCCATCTATAGACCTTAATACTGCCTGGGTACTCTACAATCCATTCCTTGCTCTTCTACCACAGGCCTTGATGGAGAGCTCTTCAAAGTCACAGCAACAACTATTGGCAACTCCTACCCAGATCCTGTTTCCTTGAGGGCAGTGAAGGTTAAATCTTCAAATCCTCCCATTTGCTGAGGGGACTCTGTTGCATTCCATACATCTATTACAAAGAAAAGGAAGAAAAGCAAAAAGAGTAATTTCCCTATCAATATAGTCTGAGCATCTATATCCTGCTATGTGCAGTGAAGAGGAGTTGAGATATATACATTATCGTAATAGTATGTAATAAGAAGATTTTGAAATGATTCTAAGGAGTGTCTGTTCCAACTTCAGGAATTATAGGCTGACGTTAGACCGGCCATTGGTCTCTTGAATGTGTTTCTTCAACTGTGAAATAAGGGAATAGGGCTTGATAAGCTTATAAGTTCTAGGTTTGATGTTTCTAGGATCCACGAAAGTCTAAATATGGAACACTTGGTATTTTTGTAAATGTACCTCTGATATTTAACTCTCCTCATAAAATTATGGCTCAACACTGTTAATTGTTCTTCACAAACTCCGTTTGGTAGTACAGAAAGAACAGCCAGTATGATTGTCCTCCTTCCTTGTGTGGCCGACTTCAGCATGCTCACTCTCTCTTCTTACTCTTTCATTGTCGGTGAGTAAAAGCCAGTGGCTGCAAAAGAGTTGAAAAGGCTCTTTAAAAAAATAACTAGATAATAGAAATCAGTCTCTGCAATTTAAAAAGTAAGTGTAATTTATTCCAAAGTGGATTCTTTCAGAATATGTACGTGTAAACACAAGTGTGTATATCTATCTGTCTCTTTATCTATATCATTGACCAATAGAAAATATTTTATGTTAAGTATGACAGTGGATTTTCTATTGTCATATCTGTATTTTATTAAGAAAATAAAAGAGCTTTGTAAAATTCTCCTTAATTTACATTCTAGAAGCAAATAGCATTCCTTTGTATTATTATACTTTCTGAGAATTTACTTTCTTATAAAATGCTGGCAAAATGTCAGGATTTAAGAGCAAATTTTCATTATATAGGTTAAAAATAGATGCAAGTGTATATAT